TGCGTATTTTTAAAATGCGACTATGATGATACTTTATTATTTTACAAAAGCTATTGCGGTCTAGATTGCATAGAGTGATTTGCAAATTAGTTGTCGGAAGTTTCTAATTTGTTGAACTAAAATTAAAACGAAACATACCTAGAATAGTGATAATTTAAACGATGCTACTCTAATGTCCCACAAAATATTTAAAAAAAAATAAATGTCGTTCCTATAAATACCAAGTACATCAGGAAATTTTTCAACACGCAAATGAAGATGAACATTTCATTGAAAACATAGTATTTACCGACGAATCCACATTTTCATTACATGGAAAGCACAATCCTGCTATTGTACTGGTCTATTGAAAATGAGTACAGGCAACTAAACTTAAAAACTCGTATCATAAAATGTTGAACGTGTGGTCTGGTATTTATAGGAATAATATTATTGGTCCCTTTGTAATTGGTGGCAATATAAATGGAGCGAGATATTTGGATCTTCTTCAAAATAGAATTATTCCTGCAATCCAAAACATAACCCCAAATTCGGATAACGTTTGGTATCAACAGGACGGTTGCCCATCACATAACATAGGAATTGTGATGGAGTATTTACAAGAGATTTTTCCCCAAAGAATAATTTCTATCTAGCAAGGTCGCCAGACGTGCTTGGCTCCTAACGATTTTTTCCTATGGGGATATGTAAAATCTACCTTGTACCGTCATGAAAAATGAATAATTTGGGCGAATTAGAGGCAAGAATGCATACAGCGTTTGAGACAATTACTCCAGATATGCTACCCAGGTAGCAGAGTGACGTGAATAAAACGTCATATTTTTGTCAAAATTTACGTCATTCTTACCAAAAATTAACGTCGATATGACGAAATTATGACGTGAATATGTCACAGCCCACAGACGTCATTCCAGGACGTCGAACGACGTGTTTTCACAACGTCACTAAACGTCATTATGTTACCAGTTTAAGAACCCTTTCAGAAAGCGAAACTGCATGCGAGATTTACATATTAAAGATACAATAAATTCATACATTTAAATTTATGTATTTGTTGTATTTTGGATACGCAAATCTGGCATACAGTATTCCCATCTGACAGAGGTGTAAGACGTCAAACATATACTAATAAGTGACGTCTTATTCAATAAAATTGAAACAAAAATATAAAAAAAAACATAATTTTTGTTTATAACATTTATTATAAAACTTTAAAAAAATTAACAAATACTATTTAAAATTAAAACTTTTTCTTATGTTATAAAAATTCAAACATACAATTCCAAAAAAATTAACACTTAGTTTAAACAACCTAAATAATAATTCTTTGGTTATAAAAAAATTAATATACCCAGTAAGCACAAGCTAGCCGGCCCGCATACGGCCCGAATACGATTTGCCGAATCGGCCGCGTGCGGCCCGACCATAGATGACCGAAGGTATAGATAGCCCACTCTCGTTAGAAAATCGAAACACAGTTAATTTAACAGCGGATATCACCGCCCGTGGCGCTGCAAGCAGATCCATTCTAGATAGCGACATCTATTGTCCAAGGGCTTTACTAACAGTTTAAACCGCCTGGAATCTACAGTGCGACATCTAGTGTATGATATCTGTACCAACTTAAATCTCCTTGAATTTTAAAATTGTAAACCGTAAAAATTTTGTTTTAAATACAAATCTGGCTCGAATGAAACTGACTAACAAATATATTTAAATCGGTTATTTTTTATTAAAGACTTTCAGAAATTAATTATTATATTGTGAGACAATGAGTCCTTATAAAAAAAATTTAATATTAAAACCATTGTCTAGAAATTTTAAACAAACATATTTAAATATGTTGTATTTTCAGATGTCCAATAAGATTTGGTAAGCTTTATTATAAAATTCACCCATTTTAAAAGAAAACAAAATTTAATATAATATTACTAAGGCTTGAAGATGTTTGCATTTTATAATGAATTCTATCAAATCCAATAGAAATACTTATTGGTAAGTTTCATACTAATCAAATTTGTATTTTAAACAAACTTCTCACAGTTTACAATTACAATATTTAAGGCAATTTAAAAGTTCTCATATTAATCACTAAATGTAACATTGTAGATTACAGGATGCGATATACAATAACTGTATTAATTAATAATGAGTTTGAAAAATCCTTGAATTAATAATAAAACAAACAAATTATGATTTTATATATTTTTTTAATGAAGTATATAAAAATAAAGTTTATATAAAACAAAGCAAATATAATAATATAAAAATAAAGTTAACAATTATAAAACAAAGCAAATAAGCATTAATGTATAAACCAAAAAAAAAATACTAATTTAGTTAACAATCTTTTTTAAATTTTTAATAGCCTCCTTCTTCTTCTTGGACTCATTTTTTACCTATTTATAAGGCATTTTTTTATATATTGTATTGGTTATTTCTAAAGTTAACTAACTTACGTCAGGATCCTTAGGACACGAGTGTAATACTGCCTCGTTACTTGTTTTTCTACAATTAACAACAGCACATTTAAACACCATTGTAAAAAAGTCAAACTAACAAAATCGCACAAAAGGAAAACTTGTAAACTGGTAAAAAAGTCAAACTAACAAAATCGCACAAAAGGAAAACTTGCGTGTCTAGAACAAAGCTGGAACAAAACCTTCGGTCATCTATGAACACAACAATAATGGGGTCTCTAAAGTTTAAACGGAAAATTGACAAATTGTCAAATTGACAAAGATGCCACCTAAAAAGCGTGTTATTTAAATTCTGCTGCTTCAGCGCTATAGTCGATCCTATCCGCAACTAATTTTAAGGTCTGAAAAGGAAGGGGGAAGTGAGCATAGCATGGGCCCGACACATGTATTTGTTCCGTCGTATAGACCGGGCATGTCCGCCTGGCCGAATGTCGGCTATGTTTACTCGGCCGAGTGTCGGCTGTGTATAGTTGGCCAAGTGCGGCCACAACAGCTAGGCCAAAAAAGCTTTCAGACATCCTGGATAGGTATATACTATAGGTATTTTTTTATTTTTATTTTATCTTAAAGAGCGAAATTTTTTGTCTTTCGGGTTTTTAAATAATCGAAAAATAAGAGATTTCTCTATTACTTTAGTTCGTCTATCGACCCTGAAAAATTGAAGCAAATCGGAAACATGAAGTCTTACTCTTGGCCGATTTGGCTTGGACTGCCCCAGATATATTTTATTCCATTTATAATTTATTAAACAACAATATTTAAGTAATCCGTTAATACCAATTTTTAGTCACTTTATGCATGTCAAATTTCGCCTTGGATGATACAGGAAAAAACGCATGTATTAGAAAATGATGGTACGTCCGCCAAAAGTATTTGTCAGAAAAATAAAAAACATTTTTTAAATATGTACAAAAATGAGAAGTTTTTTTGTAAAAAAAATTTGAAGATCAAGTCGTTCAAATGGCCTCTTGCCGCAATGCAGGAAGGAGCGGGTCGCGTTGGCTAGCATCTCTCTTGGAACTTCGCAAACCACTCTTGTGATCCCGGCCTTTAATTCATCAATGGTTCTTAACTTGTTGACATTTTATCAATGATTTTAAATGTCCCTACAAGAAAAAATCCGTTGTAACACGATGGTCATAATCTTCTTCAAAAAATTACAAAAAAACTATTTTTTATATATTTTTTTCTGACAAATAGATACTTTTGGCATATGGTACGCCAACTTTAAATTTATTCTAACAGACGCTGGATTAAAAGTCGAAGGATTGTTGCTGAAAACTGGTAAAATCTCTGAGAAAGTAATCAAATGTTTTTAAATAACATGGCTGCCAACTGATATGGCCATTTCTTAGGATAATTGACCAAACTGTCTGCGCAACAAGTACATAGTAATATACCGGTGTGAAGAGTCCATTTTGTTGAAGATAAAGTTCGTCCAGACCATCATTTTGTAAATAAATAATAAAGTTCTGTATTTACTGTAAAGCATTTTCCTTTCTCATTTAAAAAAATTTTGACCGATAATCCATACTTTGTGGATGGAAATGACATTTAGCTCAAAGTTGCGGAACAAAAAGGTTTTATTGTAAGAAGTGCTATATGAATAATTTTCAAACATTGTGGTAGCGTGAAATAATTCATGATTAAACGACAAATCTTACGAAATACAAATTCCAACAAATTGAACATTTATTTTAAACGTATACGTGCCGTTAAGTTGTCAAAGTTCGGAAATCTCTATTGGTAAACCCCACGAAGGCTAAAGACAAACTTTCCATGTTTGACGCGTATTTTTATGAAACAAAATTAGTCGGCACAGAACAATAAAAACTGCAGTGCACTTTGTATTGTGCAAAAATCCATCTAATAAGGGCCAATCACAATTAAGTATACCGTTTCCATGTGTTTTAAATTAAATCGTCCATGGCGCACTGAGAAACTTTATTATTGCAGACGCTTTTTGCCTCACCCCCTCCATATCGTTTTGTACTTCTGTCTCTAGTCATTGTGGTAAACCCTTTAGAAAAACAAAAGATAGTAAGAAACGTTAGCATTAAAACAATGGGCTCTGCAATGCATGGAATGAAAGAAACTTAGCTTTCTCATTAGGGGACCTACAGATAGGTATGTAAATCTGGACTAAAGAAGGTTATATAAAACAATTTTATTTATTTAAGTAAATTTTTTATTAACAATAAATAAATGTTCACATAAGTATTTAAAAAATTGTATCAAGCGAAGTTATGGCAAAGTTATTACAAAGAAAAAAATTGATTCAATGAAATACTATTTATAAAAGTTTTACTTCTAATTATTATACAAAGTTGTTCGCTACTTTTATCTACTAATCTACAAATTTACATTCTTATTATTATTTTTGAGATAAAATTACAATGTAGATACATTATTTGTGAAAATATTTCATAATCTAACTAGAAACCTGAAATTGAAAATGAAACATAGTACATTACTCTAAACTTTATCTAAACTTTGGCATCATAATGAGATAGTTGTTTTTTACATATTATATTTTTATGAATGTATAACATTAACAATAAAAATATGAGTTATATTACTTTGTGTAAATGACAATGTAAAAGGCAAACCATTTACAAAACTTGCTAAAAATACTTTAAGGAAATTTAATTTTATTAGGGTCGGGATATTCTGGATTTTCTATAGACCCTTTACCAAATTTAATTTCTAAAAAATCCCTGATATTATTTGGACTTGGCACGTTTCTTCCTATGAACTCTATACTAGACATTGGATGCAAAAAATTATCAGGAAATTCCATATTTTTGTGGCTTGTAAACCAGGAATCCCTTGTCATAGTTCCATTTTTCGTAAAAAATGGAAATAAATTTACATGAATTCTATTTGCTTTACTAAAGTAAACTCTATAAAAATTGCCTTCAGTAGCCTTTTCCCATAGAAACCCCTTGTTGTCAACAACAGGCTTTTCTCTAGCTTTTTTTAGCCAGTTGCACCTGTACAAATCGTCCCTATTAAACCCTATGTCAACATCGTGATCCCACGGGAGAATATCGCCACTTCTCATGGCCCCCAGTAAACTTCCAGCCTCCAACCAATACCTTATTCCAGTTTCATCCAAAATATTAAACACATACTTAGCAGTTTTCTTTAAATTCGACAAACAACACGGAGGTGTCCACTTTTTCTCGTACAGATACGATGGCATTGAATCCACAATACTGCCAAAACACCTTGGGGTATCTCGGTTACAACCGTACCATTCCGTCGAACCAAATTCACGAACAACCTGCTTGATTTTCAAGGCTACATAAAGTTTTTTAAAGCGCTCTGCATCTATCTGCTTGCGCTTCCATTGTGCGTGATGAGATTTTATTATGGGTTTTCCGTCGTGAAACGATACAGAATCAAGAATTTTGACCTAAAAATAACAAAAGAAAAAATGCATGAAAATTTAGTTAATAAATTAAGTTAGTACCTACATGTACTATTGAGGCTGAAAAGTAATCAACTGATTTTCCCGTTGTAAGTATGGTTCTCACCAGGGACAATATGGTTCTGCCCAGTGACGTAGGTATCAATCAAACTAACTTAATTATGTCTTACCATTTATTAAGCAAAAAAGGTTATATTATCACCCATAATATAACAAATGGTATGATTATCATCGATGATATTTTTTATTTGAAACCGAGCTGCAGAATTCACGAGTCCACAGGACATTTTTTGAATGGTCAGGCTGTTGTGGCCGGCACTCGGCCAACTATACATAGCCGACACTCGGCCGAGTAAACATAGCTGACATTCGGCCAGGCGGACATGCCCGGTCTACACGCCGGAACAAATTCATGTGTCGGGCCGCACGAGGCCGATTCGGCAAAATGTATTCGGGCTGTATGCGGGCCGGCTAGCTTGTGCTTACTGGGTTTAACGAATTGTCAGTTTGACATTTGATATTAAAATGTGGTTTAAAATATAAAAAGTCTTTAATAAACCTAATAACTGTAGCATGATACTGTAGTAACTAGTCTTTTTGACTAATTCATTTTTAGAGTACAGGGTATCAATATCTATTAGTTAATTTTATGCACTGGTAAATATTAACAATATATTTTATTTGGACTTTTGGCTGGGAGTATCATTAACTTGAATGCAGATAGTTTCGGTTGCGAGGTTGTACATTTTAAAGCATTTATAAAATCACAAAATACGTCTCAATAAAGTTCAGCAAGTGATTTGTATAATCTTTTACTGAAAAGTGAATTGAGTGAAGTGTTCCCGGACGTAGCTATCGCTTACCGGATGTTGGGAACTGTGAGGCTTTTCAAAGTTAGCGCTAATAAAAAAATCGGTCCACAATGGGACAAGAAAGAACATCCAATTTTGTGTTATTATCCATTGAAACCGATTTGGTAAGTGATAAATTTTAAAGCACGATATTTTTGGTATTGGGTTAATTTTAGCAAGTAAGGGTTAAGGGTTTTACTATAGACGCCACAAAAATTCTTACTTCCAAGAAAATAAGGGCCTAAAAATATCAAATAGCCCCGGACCTCCATGTTGCTTAATCCGGTCCTGCCTTCAACGCGAAAAAAACTATTAAATAAATACGTATCTGAAATCAAATTTTCTAGCAATTTCTTGAAATCAAAGTATATGCAACAAAATCAACAAAATTTAAGGACACAGTTCCAATTCTACCTATACTAGGTTTATTCGAATGCAACTGTTGCAACTGTCTGCTGAAGAAGCAATTTCAAATAAACAAGTCGAGAAGGATGTACAATCAAAAATCAATCCTAGCTCTCTTAATAATATTAACATGGTGAATGGCAAACTTATAAAGGATGGAATGCTCTTAAATTAAAAAATAGTTTAAATGAAAAGGTTGGTAATGCTTACAGTGTAGCCAAGAAACGCAAGAGTTATGGAGTGGATAGTGAAGTGGTTGATAATTCTGAATTTACATCTAATTTATTAAAAGACAATTACATAGATTTTATAGAAAATGATGGTTAATAACAAAGATAAATATCAAATACCTTACAAATGTAGTTACCACCTCTCTCTTTAAATCAATTATTATAGTATAATGATTATACATTTCTTAGAAAAAATGCAAGGTTCAAGAACATTTTAGCTTAACAAAATGTTTTAAATGTTGTAAAATAGGTCACCATATTAAAGACATAAAAATCCCACAACTGTTGTCCTAAATGTTCTGGAGCACATGATAAAAAAGCTTGTGAATCCAAATCTTTTAGCTGTGTAAATGCAAAATCTTCATTTAAAACTAAAACTTAAATTTTCTGTAACCACACTGTTAATCATCTTCAATGTCAATATTACTTATCGTTAAAAATTAAATTTTCAAAAGCTTCGTTTTGATGAAAAAACACTGGGAATATATATTTATTTTTAATTAAAAACAAAACGTGCCTCAAGACGATCTAAGTTAGTTTTTTGGTATAATCATGTCTTTTCTGAAAATATGGAATAATAATTTTTTTAGATTTCAAAATTATTAACAATGAAATAACTTCACCTTGGAGTGAAGAAACCTAGATATTAAAATTACGTTTGTACTAATTTGGTTTTAAAATAAAAATATAAATTTGAATATTAACAATAATATTGATTTATGAATGTGTATCTCAGAGACATTGCTAAACGACAGCATATCGGAAAATGTTATTATAACTATAGTTATAATATTTTAAGAAACGACCACAATGGCAGGGGTGGAGGTGTAGGCTTGTATCTGAAAAGTAACATTATATTTAAACAATCTTAAGTGATTTCAATGGTGTTGAACGTAAATGAGTTCAAATAAAAATCAACAAAATTATAATTTTAGTTGGTATCTGATACAGATTATTTAGACAATATTTTGCCATACACTACTCCTATATTTGACAATATTATTATCTTTTCAAATGTTTTCCATCAAATAATCTATTCCAAGTTATATCTGATTTCAACCGTTATACAAACGCTTCGCAAAAACTTATTGATGTAAGTTATGTAAATAATATGGATTTAGTAGGTAAAAATTGTACCATAAATGCAGATTTGGTTTCAGACCACAAAGTAGTCTTTTGAGAGCTAAAGCTTTCTATCCTTAAACCCCCTTCCAAAATTAGGGATAGGAATTTTAAATTTTGTTGTGTTGAAGCTTTTAACGCAGTCCTTTAACAAATAGAACAATTTAATATATCTAATGGATATAAATGATAAAATCAAAGTACTTAATAATTACATTTAAGAAATTTTTAACAAGCATGCTCCGTTTATTACAGCTCGCGTAAGTAAACCTGTTTGCCCTTGGATAACAAATGCTATAAAATAACTAATAAAGAAACGAGATAAAGCACATCAAAGATATAAATGTACAAAAAATGATACAGATTAAAGTTTCTACAAGATTATTCGAAATGTAATTGTTGAGGCTATTAAAAGAGAAAAAAAGCATAGCTTACCACAACAAAATAATCCCGATAAAACAAAATTGTGGAAAACTGAATATTAAACAAAATTTTTTTAACTTCATTCCCAATAATTTAACGGATCCTGAAAATATAAATGATTTTTTTTTTCAGTGTTTAGTCCACCCAACAACTGTGTGAGAACAGTAGATCACTACAATTCATTAACATTTAGCAATACCACATTTTCTTTTGGGTTATGCTTGACGGTTCAAGGTCGGGAGTTGGAAGTATGTCTTCAGGAGTACCTCAGGGATGTGTTCCAAGTTCCTTATTATTTTTAAATTATACGTCGGATATCATTAGATCAGTCTCTTATTCCAAAATGCAAACCTTTGTTGACGATACTCAACTTCTGTATTCTTTTAATCCAAGCAACCCTCATTTGGCTAACACCAACATTAATTCAGATCTAAGAGCTTTGATAGAATTCAAAAAATTCAAAATTCATGTGCCAGCGTATATGGCCTTAACAGATATGACCGAATTTCAAGCAGAATTAATTATTTAGGTTGGTTAAAGTTTGAAAACTTATTGAAATATCATTTATCTCACTTCACTTATAATGTACTTTAACCTTCACCACCTTTTTATCTTTGTAAGAAGCTTATCTTCAGACACAATCTACACGACTTAAATATTACTACTATCCATGTCAAGATTTCGATCAGCCATTTTTATGAGATCATTTTTATACAATGCACCTAGTATAATATTATATGCATATGCTAAAGATTATAACATTAAATCAGAAGATCACTTTCGCAAGGAAGTAAAAGCATATTATTTTTCCTTACAAACTTTGTTTTGTTCTTTTTTTAGGTTATAGTTAGGCTAATTTAGATTTAGAATTAGGTTAGTAAGGGTTAAGTGGAGTAGCCTGCCTAGACTTCACCTTTTAATTAATATTATTATTATTATTAAAAATACATGTTTTGCCATGGTGACCTGTCAAAAAAGCCATTTTAATTGGTTACAAAGTACTGGTGTAGAATTTTCAATAAAATTTGTATATAAACTTGTCCATAATAAGAACATATTACAGAACATATTTTATAAAACACACAATGTTTTATAAACATTTTGACAACGTTCTCACAGACCTTATAAACACGGAACTGGCGCAGATTTATAAAACAAATCGACTGTTTAACGGTTCTATAAATGTTGCTTGCTGCTATTATACAATAGTTTTTAGAACGTTCATAAATTGTTAATAAAAATCAAATAAAACGGTTATAAAATAGTTTTGTTAAAGCTCTGTTACTGGAATAAAATACATATTTATAGCAAAATAATAAAATTAATAGAATTATTATAAACATAATATGTTTATATAAAATTGAGAGGTTTTAAAAACATATGTATGTTTTTAAAACAATTTTAGCACTTTTGCTAACAGCGATGCAGCTGCAACAATTAAACGATAAAAACGTTTTTTTTAAATACTTTTTTTACACTAAATTATTTTATTATTATGCAACTAGTTTTTTAAAGTGTTGTTGAAAAACACAGTAATAAAATTTAATGAAACCGTCTCAACTATCATGGAAGTAAAAATAAAACGCTACCTATAGCTATATTACCCAATAATAAATACTAAAACAGGTCAGAAAAAACCAACCATCCGGCTGCAAAATGAAATTTACTGTTAAATATATAATATTATTAATAAAATTTCAATGCTCCTCGCGAATTACGTAAGTATTAGGAATTAAAATTAATTAAAAGATTTTTTTTTAATGTTTAAAATTGTGGAAAAAAATAGAAAAGAATAAACAAAAATTAACAATAGTACCTTTCTCTTGGGAGAAAAATAATACGTTAGGAGGCCAACATATGGAGCAGATAAGCTTATAACAAATGCTGATTTAACATGTTTAAAATAAACCATTTATTTAATATTTAAGTAGCCGAAGAAGAACTGATGAGAATG